TCAAGGAGCCCCTGAACTACCTAAGGCAGAAGACACATTTCTCTCGGATGAGCCTCTCAAAACGGAGTTTAGAAAGATCAAAACTCAATCACTAAAAAGACTTCGATATGAGAGTCAAGAGGTTGAGTCAAAGAAATCCAAGAAGCAGTCCTGTTCTGCCCCAACTCGAAATCTACAGCTGGAATTGGAAGCAACTGTCTCTCCTCTTCCAATTATTCATGAAGCTGCCTCCTTACTACCCACTATTCATGAAGAAAGTGGAGGTTCCAAACCGAGCGAAGAACAGCAGGCTACTTCCTCTTCAGGTATTGCTATCTCTGCAACTCCACTTTCTATAAATCGTCAAGAGGTGACAACTCAGGAAGAAGAACAGGAGGCTCCACCTTCACCAACAAATCTCTCACCAACTCCACTACAAAAACTAGAGGCAGAATGGACTCGAGTCAAAGCTTGGAGAGAATGGAAACTCTCCAAAATTCTCCACCAAGCCAGAACCCTAACAAAATTCATCAGTGAAGAATACTTTGCTCTCACCTGGCTTGGCACTGAAGATATAGCAAAGGCAACCAACCTCCACCAGATTCATCTGATATATCTCTCGAAGAAGAAGAAACAGCTGACTGATAAGCCACAACAAGTGCACTCCACTGATAATGATGATGCTGATCTTGATGATGATGACAACCATACTGATCAAAATGGCCCCCCAGAAAACAGAGGTAAACAAATCATCACTTCTTCCTCTTCCAGTGATAAAGAACTCCACATAGCTCTACATAGATCACTACTTGATACTAGAGGAGGTGGAGAAACCTCCAAAGCAATGGAGGAAGTAGCTCAAAAGGCAACTGAGCAGCATACTGCCACCATTCCACTCCACTACACTGCTCAACCCACTGCAGATCAAGAGCAGACGTCTAGTTCCCACTCTCAGACTCTACTCAACAAATAGAGCAGCACTCTCCCACATTCATTCTCAACCCCGAGGATGATGAAGAGGACACTGCAACCATGGCAGATGTCTTCATCAGAGAAAGAAGGGCTACAACACAATTCATCAGCCGCGCAGAGGTCAGATTACACAAGAGACTCATCAAAATGAAGAAGCAACTAGAAGAGAGGCTAGACATCAGATTTGGAGAAGTCCACAACCATATCAGAAAAGATTCCATGATCCAACAAGTGTTCAATGCTGAGCAGAGAGCTCTACTCAAAACCAAAACCTCTCAGCAGTCTGCTTTGACAAATGACATAAAGCAGGAGATTGCTGCACTCAAAGCCAAGAATGAAGAGCTAGAAAACAAAATCCTTGCATTCCAAAGGCTGCAACCGGCTCAGCCAACTGTAGCAGGACCATCTGATCAGGTACCTTCCCTAACTTCTCCTCCACCTAACCTCGATCAGGTTCTTAAAAAGGTGCAGGAACATGAAGAGTACCTCATGAAGCTAAGGAATGAGGACTTCCCTGCCATGTTCAAGCTCTCTCAGACATTTCTTATGGAGCAGCAGGCTCATGCTAAAGCCTATGAACAGCTCACTAAGGACATTGCTCACAACTTCCAAGTTCTCCACAAAGGGACGCAAGACACCTTCTGGAAGCAAGGTACTGACTTCCAGAAACTTGGACAAGACTTGGTGGCAACAAAACATAAACTTCAGAACTTGGAACATGAAGTCAAGGATGAAGTAAAAACAGATCTCATGGACATCAATAACCACATCAAGGCTCTGTCCATTGAAGTGTATGGTCTGGATCCATCAAGAAGACAAATTGAAGATCCAGACTCAGATGAAGAAATTGAAGCACTATTTAGGGAAAGCCAAACCCCCCTCCTGGCTGATGCCAAAAAGGGGGAAGAGTCAACACAAGCAGGCCCCTCTTCTAATCGATCTCTGGCAGCAAAGAAAGCAGTTGCAACAAGAAGAAAAAACCAACTCTACAAAGAAGAAGCTGAGATAAGAAGAAGAAAGGAAAAGGAGGCCAAAGCCAAGGAAGAAGCTGCTAAGAAGAAACAAGAATAGATTAATTCTCAAGTCCGAAAGTGACTAAAAACTATTGTACTTTAGAATGTAGACCAAAATGCAGACCAATGTACATTATTCTCAATAAAAATCAACAAAAACATTGTTTCTTGTGTTGTATAGTTTTGGCATCATCAAAAAGGGGGAAATTGTTAGTACCCAATTTTGATAGATTTTGATGATGCCACTATACTCTACACTAACACATTGTGTCTTAATTAAGTTCAGTCACTAGTCTTTAATTTAATCAAAAGTGACAAAATAAATGTACAATCTTTTGAGTCTAATGACATATTACCGGAAAAGAAAAAAAATGCAATAAGGTATTTTTTTTTTTTACCTTAAAGGGATATTTAGATCCTACCGGAATATATTATTTAGCTCAAAGATTAATTGTCACAATTTTTGGCACTCGGATATCATACACTGAATGTGTATGATTGGAAGACAGAACTTGACCAACATTAAATGCTGAAACACGTACATGGACCTACAGCATGGGACGCACAACTTGAAATGATTCAGCGACCAATAAGTGAAAACAACTTCGACAAGTGATCCAGCACAAGAAGACAAGTGTACAACCTATCTTTGCCAGAATTTCAACGTCAAAGATTAATTCATCTCAACCAACGGATGAGATTAATCAACCATGAAGGCCTATAAATATAGGTAGAAACATGAGTTCAAAAGAAGCTTGAGCATCCTAAGTAGAGAAATACTTTCATCAAAAGCATATTCGAGCTATCTAGCAAAAGAGAAGGTGCAAACTCAACTTTACTCTCTGCTTAGCCTCATGCTTCACTAAGCTCTTAGATTAGATCAACACTTTCATATTTTTAGAGCTTAGTTCATAGTTGGAGGTTAGAAATTTCTTGTAATCACAAGTTATTGTAAACACTTAAGAGAACAGTTGTTCGGATCCTAAAGTGTTGTTAGATAGATAGAGTAACTTTTGAACCCCACTGGTTCATTAGAGAAAAGTCTAAGGACTGAGTAACCTTGAGTGGTGCTATTCTCATTGTGAAAATCCTTCAATCTAGGCCTAAGTGTTGTAAAGGCTAGATTGACACTAAGTGTATTGAGATTAATACTTTAGTGGAAATCCATCTGAAAAAGGGTGGGACTGGACGTAGGAGGATTACACCACCTCTGAACCAGGATACATAGTGTGTTGATTTTACTTCATTCAACAAGCACACACCCAGCACTTCTCGTATAAAGATTGTTGTTTGCCAGCAACATTTTAAGCAGTTGTCTTAACTGACTCAACTGCTTATTCTTCTGCTTAATTACTCACTCTCTTTGAGACTATTTTCACAAGTCCACTTGCCAAAGCATCACCAAAAAGGTTGTTCTATCAGTTTCCAGAAATTCACTTTCTAATCATAGCAGGTGCCTCAGCAGAACCCTCATCACCACCCAACTGCTGAGTCCTCTGCTCACATACATATATTTCCTATAACTCAACATCACCAGATCCTCATAACATCATCAACACGAAGTTTTGCTTAAACGGGTCTCTGAAAATCTGCTTATAACCTAAGCAGGTGGCTCAGCAGTTCCCTTAGTACCACCCAACTGCCGAGACCACTGCTCCAGTCAAACTTCACCTTACTCTTACTAAAGCACTTTTTAAGACATCTTTCTTCATCCTAAACAACATTCCACTCTCACTTTCATCATAAAGTTAATATTTCCCTAGCAGTTACCTCACCAGTTTCCTGCTATCTAGCCAACTGCTAAGTTAACTGCCAAGCCAACTGCTAGCTATCTAAGTCCAATCCCCAAAATTAGAAAGTGGTCAAACACTCATTACAAAAAGGTAAAGACTTCCGCTGTGCATCTATTAATCTCTCAAAAGATTATAGATCAATTCATCTAGAGGGAAAAACTTCAAAAAAGTTGAAAAAGATTTAAAAGTCTATTCACCCCCCCCCCCTCTAGACTTTTACTCTATCCGGGACCATCAGGATTATTAGTTTCCAATTTCCATTTAGGCTACTATCAACGATCAACAATATATAAATTTACGAGATCAGACATTTGAGCAAGATGATTTTTGGCTAAAGGGTTAAATAGGTCCTCGAACTGACTTAAAGTGTTCAATTAGCCCCTTATATAAAAGTTTCTGCCCGGCCGTCGCTAATTGGGGCGGTTCCTGGTGGATTTTTTTGATGAATTGTTTTGAGCATCTTCTTCATTAAGTCTAGTTTACTCATACCAAATTTCAGCTAAAAATTCAGCCGGGAAGGCAGTCAAACAATTTTCCGAAATGTACTTCGCTGTTTAACTTCACAGTTATCTTCAAAAAATAATTTGAATGCCTTCCCGGTTGAATTTTTATCTGAAATTTGGTATGAGTAAACTAGACTTAATGAAGAAGATGCTAAAAAAATTTCATAAAAAAAACTCACTGGGAACCGTCCCAATTGGCGACGGCCGGACAGAACCTCCTATATAAGGGGCTAATTGAACACTTTAAGTCAGTTCAAGGGCCTATTTGACAGAATGATTTTTTTTTGAACGCTAGGTCTTGGGCAAAATGATTTTCAAATATTGAAATATGACATTAATTTATTTAATCAATTTAAAAATAAACATAAAATGCAGAGTTACACCAATATCAGAATAAGGGTCTGTTTGCAACAGCTTTTGCTTTTAAAAAAGTGTTTTTTTAATGAAATGAGGAGAAATGATTAAACAAAAGTTGATAGTGTTTGAGAAAAAAATGATTTTGAAAAGTAAAAGTGGGTAGTGTTTGGTAAAATAAGTGCTTTTTGTGTAATAGAAAAAGTAAAAGCACTTTTTACGCGGAAGCCGAGAAAAATAAAAGTTGTAGTGTTTGAAAAAATAAGTATTTTTTTAAAGCCAAAAGCTGAGAAGTGCTTTTTAAAAGTAGTTGCAAACTAACCCTAAAATTTCTACTCCAAAGAAAATTAGAAATCATCTTTGTCAATTCCCTCGAGCAAGTCTTCTTTTTAATCTTATTTATTTCTCTTTCCTACTTTTTATTCTATTCCCATCATTACTGGTTTTTGATTATTTTGCAGCGCTGCTGTAACCTACTAAGATCTTCATCGTGTTTCTTGACCTGAATGAATTCTCTTCCCGTGTTCTTAAGCTACTGAAGTTGATGTGCGTGGAAAGATGAGAGCTCGTGCTTCCTTTCAACTCTTTGTATTTAGTTGTGGCCTCTTTTCCGTAGCCTGTGAAGATTTTCCCTCAGATGAAGGTACTATTTCATCAATGTACTATGCATTATACACAGGCCTAGCTCGAATTAATGCATGTTTTATTTTATAATTATGTTCCTACGCGTCCTGCACATTTACTGCATATCTGTGTCTATTTTGGGCAGTGAAAGCTCTTACTAAATTCAAAGAAGCTATATATAAGGACCCACTTAGGGTTTTATCAAATTGGAATACCACAAATTCTGATCCTTGTAGCTGGAAAGGCATTTATTGTTCTAAGGCTGGAGATCATGTCATTAAAATGTAAGGATCCTTCTTTAATTTTGCTCGAGGCATTTTTAACTGTGGTATGTTTTTTATGAAGTAATGCACTAATAATTTGTTTAGTACTTTTACTCCAGCCATTTATGTTTTTTCTTGAAATTTTAAGTTTCTAAGTATATGCCATTATATAAAAGGAAAAGGGGCAAATAGGTCCTACTATTTCAAATCCATCATCTGAGCCCCTTTATTAAATAGGGAAAATGGTCAGATAGGCCCTCGAATTTACATAAAAAGGTCAAATAAGCCCTTATATAGGAGGCTCTGTCCGGCCGTCGCCATTTGGGGCAGTTCCTGGTGGAATTTTTTGATGATTTTTTTTAGCATCTTATTCATTAAGTCTAGTATACTCATACCAAATTTCAGCTAACAATTCAATTGGGAAGACATTCAAATGAATTCTTGAAAATAATTGCGCTTTTAACTGCGCAATTATCTTCAAGAATTCATTTGAATGGCTTCCCGATTGAAGTTTTAGCTGAAATTTGGTATGAGTAAACTAGACTTAATGAATAAGATGCTCAAAAAATTGCATCAAAAGTTACACCGGGGACCGCCCCAAATGGTGACGGCCGGACAGAGCCTCCTATATAAGGGCTTATTTGACCTTTTTATGTAAGTTCGAGGGCCTATTTGACCCTTTTCCCTACTGAAAAGGTATTGTATGGATTATGAAAAATAATAAATTTTATAAAAATTCATATAAACTTGAAAAAATAATGTAATAATAATATATAAATTCGTAAGAATGAGAGGAAAAAAGATTAATAATTTTAAAACCCTGAACAAAAAAAATGAAAAAGACACAATATGTAAAAAATATTAAATAAATAATCTAAAAACTTTTAAGAAGATGTACAATTTAAAAAATGCAAAAACTGCAAAACTTAGAGTTTATCATTCTTAAAATGTTCAGATATTTTATACTCCCACCAGTTTTATTTAATCTTCACACTTTGACTTCACACAAAATAAGGAAAGAAATTTGACTTTACTGTAGAGTACACTGTTGAGGCACTGTTTGACACTGTTTAGCACTGTAGAGACACTGTTTTGCACTGTTGAGACACTGTTTGACACTGTTTGACACTGTTTGGATGTAGATTTCTTTGACAAAAAAATAAATAAGGAAGTGTGAAGTTTATTTTAGACCGTCCCAAAAAGGAAAGTGTGAAGTTTATTAAAAACCGGAGGGAGTATATATTTATTCGAATAATAACATTTTTTTAATTTTATAAATTAAAAAACCTGGTATTACAGGTTAAGAACCGGTTAAATGGCTGGATTGAACTAATTTTTAAAGTAAGCGTATTTCAATGATGCTTATTTAGTAGAGGGATTTAAGTGAAGCATTAGAAGTAGTAGAAGGGTCTATTCGACCCTTTTACCTTATATAAAGGACCTATTTGGAAATCGTTATTTGGATGAAATGGCTAAAGGCATTTGAAAAACGTTATTTGGACCAGGTCACCAAACAAAAAACGTTAAGAGACATTTATTACTACATCCATTTGAAAGTACAAGTTATTTTTTTTCAGTGTACAACATTTGAATCATGGTTACTGACATGGTTTTAAAAGGCGTTTACAAATATTAAGACTTGGGGTTCCATCCTAAAAAGTCAACCTGTTAGGAGGAGTAGCCTATGTTGCTTTGTATTTCTATACGCAACTGGTATGAGATAGCTTAATACGCCCCCGCAAGATGGCGACTCGTTGGAGCAGAACAATCTTGTAGTCCGTGTGCTCGTTGTTGAGGCTTACCAGGATCTAATTACTCGTTGGAGCTTAATTTGCTCTGATACCATATTAAGACTTGGGGTTCCATCCTAAAAGGTCAACCTGTTAGGAGGAGTAGCCCAAGACTTTATATGTTGGTTTGTATTTCTATACGCAACCAATGTGGGATAGCTTAATAACAAAGCGGGTTTTGAGGCGTGCATCAAGGTGAGGCGTACAGAGAAGGTACTAGGCCTTAGTTTTTTTTTTGTTTTGCAGATCAAGAGGCTTACGCCTCAAAAGTTAAGGCATAAGCCTTGAGGCGTGCCTTAAAGCGTTTTTTGAGGCGCGAGTTCCTGTCTTTCTATCTTTTTAATGGTTTGTGATTTAGGAAAGGCCTAGTGTACTTTAAGTAGTATTTAGTAAAAGCCCCATACATTAAACATGTGTCCATAGTCCACACTAAATCTTTGACAGCTAATCTTGCCTTATATCTCTCAAGAGTTCCATCTGCCTTGAACTTAGGAGTGAAGATCCATCTACATCCAACTGTTGGTTTATTTTTAGGCAGCTTTATAATCTTCCATGTCTGATTCTTTTCAAGAGCCTCCATCTATTCCAAAACAGCTTTCTTCCACTAAGGTTTAGATAGAGCTTCTCGTATGGTTGAGGGAATAGAAATAGAAGTAACACTAGAAGTGAAGGTTGCAAATGATGAGGACAGTTTAAAATTAGAAACATGATTTGAGATAGGGTATTTGACACATGTTCTTCTTTCTTTTCTGTGAGCAATTTGTAAATCAAGATCACCGGAATTATTACCTTTTTCACTCCCTGTCATTGAGTCAGATTCATGGACAGATGTAGGTTCAGGGACTTCCTCTATCCTTTGATTTGGAACTCTCCTCTCATACTTTGCCAAAGAACTTACTTGTATGCTGGTCTATTTTTTCAATTGGTTCAGTTGTATTTATCTCATTATTTGTTAATTCTTGACTATTTTTTGATGCACCTAAATTTCTAATGAGATGAATATCTAGATTAATGTCAAGAAAATCAAAGTTTTCATGGATATGTGGCACTTTTTGAGCATCTTCACTTAAATTCTCCCCCTGAACATGACTCATGTTCAGGAAATCTCATACATAAGTTACTTCTTCAACCTTTTTTTGTGAAGGAAGGCTGCTTGAAATCAACTTTTCTGTGATTCGTGTTTTGGAAATATTTAATATATTACGTGGCAAGTATCTTTGTTGAATCAAACTTGACTCTTTTTCTTTAGACAAAAAGGTGTTTGAAATAAGGCTCTTTTTTTGGGACTGAGGAAGTACTAATTTCCCCCCTTTGCCCTTCTTCTCCATCTCAATTCTCAAGTGCAGCAGTTTCTATGAATTTCTAGAAGTTTAGTACTTTAGTAATTGAGGATTGCATGGGTAGAGTATTACATCCCTAACTGATTGTTTTTACCAATTTTGCAGTAACATATCAGGGACATCTTTGAAGGGTAATCTTGCACCAGAGTTGCACCTAATCTCTAATTTGCAAGAACTGTGAGTCCTTTTTTTAAGTACACTTTTATGGAGATGACGGGTGATCATTAATTATTAGGTGTTTATTTACAGTATATTGCATGGAAACCTGCTCATAGGCACACTACCCAAGGAAATAGGCTTGCTGAGAAATCTTAAAGTATTGGACTTGGGCGCTAACCGGCTGACAGGAACAATTCCTTCTGAAATCAGCAATTTATCCAATATTTCAAAAATGTGAGTGTAACCCAAGCCAGAAGTTTAGCTTTGAGTTGCAACTTGATGGCATTTAGGTGTTAATTGTTGTTATTTGTTTTCTTGCAGAATACTTCAATCCAATGGGTTGACTGGGAGTTTACCCCCCGGACTTGGGAACTTGGAATACCTCGAGGAGCTTAGGCTGGATAGGAATAGACTCCACGGGGTACTGCCAGCCAGTAACTTCACAGGTTCTACATCTGGCGGAAAAGGCATGTAAGTATCTTATTTTGTTGAGTGCATTTTTACTCTGCTTCAACCTGTCATGGCTAAAATATCAGTACATCCATTTCCTCTAAATAACACTCACAAGTAGTACCTAAAGATCTTGCTGGTTTGGTACTATTTGATCATTTATGTTTTTGAAAGAGAACCGGACAATTTTTGTATATTAAATCCGGAAATCAGAGTCCTTAAGCTATTACAATGGCAGAACAAACGCAAACGACGTACAAAGCACGATGATTAGAAAGAAAAATACAAGTGAGACACTTCGAGCAGTCTCTCTCCCAGTTCCCAGACTTATCCCAAGTTCTCCTACTCTTTTCCCCTTACCCGCTCATTATAATATTACTCTAACCAGCCCTCCTTCCCTCCCCTATGACAACCAACGATGACAGCCAGCCTGAGGTTCTCCTCAGGCAAGGAGACCTCAACAATATTCCTACCAGTACACCTATCACCTCTAATATCCCTTCCACCTCAGTTTCCGCACCTAACCCCAGATGGATTAATCCTGCTAAATCCCAGTCAATTCCCAGAAAAACTAGATGGTTCGAATTACCTTGCCTGGCGAGATCAGATTCTGGATCTTCTTTTCGGGTCTCACCTTGATCAGTATATATCTGAGGATGCTGCCCCGCCACCGAAGACTGATGTCGATGCCCATCTCCGATGGACTAGGCAAGACCGACCCATCCGACACACCCTCATAGCTTCTCTGAGTTCGGCCTGTAAACCGCTCGTTGGATCCTCATACACATCTGCAGCAGTTTGGAAGACTCTTGAAGAATTCTATGGGACTCGTTCACCATCTCAAATCCGGAATGTGAAGGATTCCTTCCGCCACACCAAACAAGGCTCTCAACCAGTGAGGGTGTATCTCCATCACCTGGAAATGCTCGCCAATGAATTGGCTCAGGCCGGCCGCCCTGTAGATGACGAAGATTTCGTCGTTCAAGCTCTGGACTTCTGGAGGGACTCCGACCCGAGTTCGAATCCTTTGTGAACTCGATTCGTACCTGCGGCGATAATAGGTTCAAGACCATCTATACTCTGCTCACAGGCTTTGAAGACTCCATGAAGCGGAAGGAAGATTTGAGCTCCTCCATTGCTGTGGTGACGACTAATAATGTAGCGACTGGAGAGCCCGTAGCACTTGCAGCTCGCAGAGGAAATCCAGCCCCGTCAATTTTGGGCCCAGGACCGCCGGCCCAATTTCAACAGCAGCCCAGTCACACTAGTTATCCAGGCCGCAATTCTAATCGGAATCAACCCAGAAATCAGCGGCCCAATACTCATTACAGTCCCAACCGACGTGGAAATAATAACTTTGGGGGTCCTACTAGCAACCAGGCAGCCCGCACTAGCTTGGGGAATAGTAATTTTGGGGGCAATGTTACATGTCAACTTTGTGGGAAACCGAACCATTCTGCTCTCAACTGTTGGCATCGGTTTGAACAACAAGCTTACCCCCCTCAAGTCAATACGGCTGTCACTCGGCACAATGGTTGACTATGATAGAGAGCAAGAAGAGCATGGGGCGGGAACGGGTTTGGGCCCACTTCCGTGGGCCGGTTAGGGGCTGTCGTTATAGTTTTATTTATTATTATTAAATATTAAATTAAAGTTATGTTTTAGTTTGGGCCTATTATTAGTAGAATACTTAGTAGAGTTAGTATGAGCTTAATTATGATGTAATTAATTTGGGCTTGATCAGGGTTTCCTTTCCATCATTTGCAATGGAGCCAAAGATTCATTATTTTTGGCTTGAGAATATGATGGAATAAAGCAAAATGGCTCTCTAAACTGTCTGCGCTTCTTTGTTATGAAGCAGCAGTTAGTCCATGTAATTTTGGACGCGATTTTCACTATGGGTCATCCGGAAACAGTCTCTCTATGCTTTAGCACAGGGGTAAGACTGCGTACATCCGACCCCCCTTACCCCACCGTAGGTGGGAGCCTTTGCGGCACTAGGGTAAATGAAAATGATGAAATGAGTGATGGGCTTGATTAGGGTTTCTCTTAGAAGGCTATTTATACCCCTTGCCAGGGTTCATTCTTGCGTATCTTGGAATAAAATTGGTTTAGCCTTTTGGCTCTGGGCAACGGTATTTTTTTATCGTTGATTATCTAGGCAACGGTTCACCCCGTTGATTTTATTTTTCCGTTACACATCAGACTACTTGATTCTGGGGCAACCAATCATGTCACCAACAACCTGAATAATCTTACCTTGGCATCCGATTATACTGGCTCTGATACCATAATAGAAAGGAGAGAATGAATGTTTTGAATATATTTCACGTATATGAAACTGGTTTACAAGGCTTCTATTTATACACATCCTAATCATGTATATAAGGTAAATAATAATACTCAATAAATTGACAAAGATTTTAACGGCTAAATACAATATTCTGCAAATTATTTCTTTACTTCAATATCCTCAAGGTGGGTAGTAAGAAACTGATCTGGCATTTGGTTTCAGCGGGTTATTTTCTACATCCAGTTCTGACTGCTGATCACTTGTTCCCTTCTCTTCTTCTAGCTCTTCCATCAGGAAAAATTGATAATGTTTCATTACACAAACATGCTCTTTGCTCCATTTGTTTGCACATTTGAAACATAGGCCCTTTTTACTTCTTTCTCCTAAACATTTGATCTTTGAATTTAGTGGCAGGTGTCCATGTAGTGTATGGGGCATCCGCATGTCCCATACAGCCATACTGCATTCTAGCGTGTAAAACAGTGATGTGGCGGCTTGTTTTTTGTCATTTTTGAGCAGGGGTATGCCCCGTTGATTTGTACTAAGATTCGGAATGAGTTCAACATGTACATTTTAACCGTTGGCCTCCCTCTCATGTCTTATTCGTTTTTGGTTATTCCTCCAATTTGTCCTCTGAATGTGTTCTCTCATGAGTATGTGACTGAATAGGACTATAGGATGTGTTCTTCCCTTTGCTGTTTACACCCAGTTCAAATGCCTGACCATAGTCCCTCCCTGTTCTTTTCACCCTGTTTGTCTTCTTTCTTGTGTATCCCTGATCTCATAACAGTGTTTTTCTCTTCTAATAGCAGAGCTCGATACATTAATTCAGATGGAGAAGTGGATGGATAAAGTTTCAGGTCAGCTCTCACTGCATCCTTCAATCCGTTCAGAAAAATTCCCTGCAACATCTCTGTATCAGTGTGCCTCAGTGGTGCGACTACCAGTTCAAATCTCTCCCTACAATGAATTACGCTTCCATTTTGCTTGACGCTGAGCATGGGTTCAGACAAATTTTGAACTAATTCCGGTTGGAACCTTCTGATTAAGGTTGCTTTGAACTGTTTCAAGGTCCAATCATCATTTTGTCCCTCCCACCATTGGTACCAGTTTAAAGCCTTGTCCTCCATGGTAATGGTTACCACCTTAAACTTATCCTCTTCTGGTATGTTATTCAACTTGGAGAACCTTTCTACCCTGATGGTCCAACCATAAGCATCCTCGCCATTAAATGACAGCAGATCAATCTTCCTCCGGTTCTAACGAACATTCTGTTCGCACTGGTTTCACGCTGAAAAGAGAGTGGATCACGAGGTTCAGATTTACCTTCAGAGTTCGATGAAGCCTGGCTCTCGTCATGTTGTCGTCGTCTCGGAGTCCTTGATTCATCTTGCAATCAGGAACAGCTTTGGTTTTCATCCTGCGGTTGTCGTTTTGACGTCTTCAAACTTCCCCTTGAATGATGGCAATCCTGATGCATGAATTTCCGCAGCTCATCCATTCGGCGATCCTGGTTCATGTCACGAATTTGACCAGAAATGATAAAATCAGGAACTAAGTAAAATCAGGAACTAAGAACTGGGAATGCTGGAAAACTTGAGCTGCCTATCTCAGCTGTTTATTTACACTTACATGGGCAACATGTGAATATATGTACAAGGAAACAAATCAAGGGATTCGTACAATTAATGCAAGATATCCCTGCACTCAATGCCTAATAAAATCGTCTTGTAATTACAAAGATTCAATAAAATAACAAAGATATTTTTCTACTGATTTTCTGATTGACAGTTCAGCATCCATTTTCGCATCTCATCCACTACGTTGTGCAAATCCTGAACATTGTTCTCCACCGTCTCCACTCTGTTCTCCATCCTCACTCGTGTCCAGTTAATCCACAGTGTCGCAGGCTCGTCGGTTCTGATACCAATGATAGAGAACCAGACAAATTCTGTATATTAAATCTGGAAATCGGAGCCCTTAAGCTATTACAATGGCAGAACAACGCAAACGACGTACAAGGCACGATGATCGGAAAGAAAAATACAAGTGAGATACTTCGAGCAGTCTCTCTCTCTCCCAGTTCCGAGCACAATCCCAAGTTCTCCTACTCTTTTCCCCTTACCCGTTCATTATTATATTACTCTCCTAAAGGGCCGGCCTTCAGCCCTAAGTTACTGGACCTAGGAGAGTTACTGTACAATATTAAAAGACTTAAGATTATTCTCATTAGGAGGAGTGTCTGGGACCCTATCATTTTCTGATTCCAAATATTTTGTTTATATTTGCTGTTATTTTTCCTTCAAATTTTCAAAATACAAATGTTTGTATGTTTTTGTATACACGATTTGTATTATCACTTATAAAAAATAGATAAGGCATCTCGATTCCCAACTTCCCAAGGGTCTGCTTTACAAGTTACTATCTCCAAACCACCTTGTGAGTGGTCCGGATGGATATGTTTAGTTTGGTTTGGTTTGTTGTAAACCATATATAATTCTTAATTTAAAATTTAATGCTTCATAAAATGTTTAAAAAACTCATGCAGAAACACGGTTTCGAAAAGAAAGAAAATAAAAATGACACTGTGACACACATTTTCCTGTTTTCTGTATTAAAAAAATGGAAAAAAATGGAAAAACCGTAGCATTAACAAACGAAACATACACAATTTTAAATAAAAATTGAAAATTTATTACCTTTTGACATGCTCAGAATAGATAATGTATGACTTGCCTTTATTTGTATATTAGGGATATCCATGGTGGCTACATAAGTGTTTTTTGTCATTCATCTCACCTTAAAGTTGTTGATTTCTCCTTTAACTTCTTTGTTGGAAGTATACCCAAGTGCTTGAGTTATCTTCCAAGGTACTTTCATTCTTCTTTGTCAACTTTGTCATTTTAATCTCTTTCATATTTTATATATTTCTGAATCAAATTTATTCTTGTCTCTGTGTAAAGATCGAGCTTTCAAGGGAACTGTCTACAAGTGAAGGCAATTGAACAGCGCTCCGCTGTACGATGTGGTATGTTATACTAGCACAAAAAACTATATCAAAGATTGAACCACCCAAAAAAAAAACTGTCCCATTTTGGTCTCATGATTATGGGGAATGCCTATGGATTCCTTGTCACTTTTTCCGGCTAATTCCTATACAACTTCCGGTTGGTTTTGTAGGATAGGTGACAAAAAAGCACCAAATGTTGCAAAAATGCATATAGTAGCTTAAATTTTGGACCCAATTTATCATTGTTGTAAGTTGTAACAATCTCAGTCCAGTCCCTCATGCCTTATTATTCCATATCTAGGTGCTAGACTTTCCTTGGATGCTTGTGCATTATCCCTCTTAGCCCTTGCGTAGTTGTACTTATATATCACCCAACCCCAAGGTCCTAACAAATCCTTGTCTAGGCAGGTACCTGGTCTCGAGCGAGTCTTCTCTTTATAGCAATACCTGTTACAACATTTCTCTTTAGAAAAGTTGGACAAGCAAGAACTATGTAAAAGATGTTAAGACATCCCACATTGATAAAATAAAATAAGAAAGCTCAATATATAGAGCATTGGGTTACACTTCCTATGAGGTTACATTCAGGATGATGGAACCTCATGGCTTCATATAAAAAAGTACATCCATAGTTGTTTTCGCCTACAACTCCATCAAGCTTATGAAACAGAACATTATGGTTTGGCACTCAATGTTTTGTCTTCTCTTTTGCAGGCAGTACACCACATGGTAAGAACCATACGATAGTTAACACGACACCGCACCCGCTAGCAGATAATCCCAGTCTGCGTCGGCCTTCTTCAAAGCCTACCTGGCTTTTAGCCCTGGAGGTTGGGACGGGAATCGCGGCGGGTACTCTATTTATTGCGGCTCTACTTACTACCTTTCAAAAGCTGAAGACCAAACCTTCTATCATTATCCCTTGGAAGATGTCAGGTAGCCAGAATGAAGACCATTTGCCCATTTTTGTAGGTCAGTATCTCTGTTTTGACCTGTCTCACTTTATACGTCAATGCAACATCTACCTTTCTTAGAATTTCAACATTACATACTTGGGTACTCCCTTTGTCCCGCAAAAGAAGTTTCCACTTTGACTTGACACATGTTTATGTATGATAATGTTTTGGTTTGACTTTCTAAGTATACCCTTACTTTATGTCAAATCAAGCAAAAAGTAGACAAAAAGTAAGGCTAACTGCGACATGTCCTTATCTTTCTTTTATTATTATCTCATCTTATCTTATCCTTTTTAGCTCCAATTTCATATAACGATTCATGTTAGCCGACCCCAAACTCTTTTGGGACTAAAGCTTGGATTTTGTTGTTGATAGAAATGAGATCTTCATTTTGGGACATCCTAAAAAGAGAAGTGAGAACATCTTTTCGGGACAGAGAGTATGAGATAAACATGTCTATGTAGAAGTTTTGTTATTGATGGTACATTAGTATTGATTGAACACAAAGTACATAGTCTATACAGGGCATGAGTGCATACATGAGGAAAGAGAATAACAATGAAAGTAGGAAGTGAAATAACAACAAACGCCACTAATTACTTAATAATCTTTGTTAAGACTTGGGATTCCATCCTAAAAGGTCAACCTGATAGGAGGAGTAACTCAAAGCCTTATATAGTATTTTATTATTTTATAGCTTTCCGGTGTGGGACAAATACTTCAACACGCCCCCTCAGCCCGCACCGGGCTGGACAATATCGGGGTGTATAAATGGGTCAAACAGACCCTTAACAAGCTACCCGTAATCATGGGTGCTAAACAAGCAATCAAACCACAACCGGAATTGGCTCTGATACCATGTTCGGTATCAGGTTGACCTTTTAGGATGGAACCTTTTATCAGATTGACCTTTTAGGATGGAACCTCGGGTCTTAACATGGTATCAGAGCCAAGTTCGGTTGTGGTTTGAAAACTTGTTTAGCACTCATGATTAAGGGTAGCTTGTTAAGGGTCTGTTTGGCCCATTTATACACCCCGATATTGTTCAGCCCGGTTCGGGCTGAGGGGGCGTGTTGAAGTATTTATCCCACACCGGAAAGCTTTAGAACAATAAAACACTATATAAGACTTTGGATTACTCCTCCTATCAGGTTGACCTTTTAGGATGGAACCTCGGGTCTTAACAATCTTAATATAATATTTTCTAACATACCTCGGCCAGAAGTCCCCCTGTTTGGCGAGGTTATAACGGGTATGTACTAGTGTACTATATAGGGTTGGGCACTTGGGTCCATATACACATCCCTTCCCATGCACATTGGAGGTCCTTATACTTTTGGTTCATGAGGGCCAATGCAGGTATAATCGTACAAATATATAACGTATATGGAATAAATTATGGACACATCATCATCATGGAGCCAAAGACTCACTATTTTTTGGCTTGGGAATATGATGGAATAAAGCAAAATGGCTCACTAAACAGTCTGTGCTTCTTTGTTATGAAGTAACGGTCATTCTATGCAATTTTCGACGCGTTTTTCACTATGGGTCATTCGGAAACAGTCTCTTTGTGCTTTAGTACAGGGGTAAGACTGCGTGCATCCGACCCCCCTTACCCCAACCGTAGGTGGGAGCCTTTGCGGCACTAGGGTAATCATCATCATCATCATCACCACCCCAGTGCCGCAAAGGCTCCCACCTACGGTTGGGGTACGGGGGGGGGGGGGGTCGGATGCACGCAGTCTTACCCCTGTACTAAAGCACAAAGAGACTATTTCCGAATGACCCATAGTGAAAAACGCGTCGAAAATTGCGTAGACTGACTGTTACTTCAGAACAAAGCCAAAAAATAGTGAGTCTTTGGCTTCATTGAAAATGATTGAAAGAAATTATGGACACATGAGCTATAAAATCTTCACCAACTCAAATTTGTTTTAGAATTGGCATTTATTGCCTTTTTTGAATAATAATTCACGATTAAAATAATTTGTGTCGCCTAGCCCCTAAACTTTCCAAACATTAGTGCATTACTTATATCATGACAAATTGTCTCAGACACTGAGATGCTGAAGGATGTGGTGAGATACAGCAGGCAACAACTAGAGGTAGCATGTGAAGATTTCAGTAACATTATTGGATCTTCACCCGATAGCTTCGTCTACAAAGGTACCATGAGAAGTGGGCCTGAAATCGCTGTTGTATCCATGTGTGTCAAGGAAGATTATTGGTCAGCGCATCTTGAGCTTTATTTTCAGGACGAGGTATTATTATCTCTTTCATTTCACATAGCTTATATGCGTATTGGTTTACTCTCTGATATTGTAGTTTCTGATATTATTTAAAAAATGGTAATATATTTTTTACTTATACAACCTCAGGTTGCAGAACTTTCTAGAATAAATCACAAAAATATATCAAAACTGCTAGGCTATTGTAGAGAAAGCAGTCCATTTACAAGGATGTTGGTGTTTGAGTATGCATCAAATGGGACACTATATGAACACCTTCACTGTAAGTAAATAATCAGGGGCTTGTTTGGAAAGGGTTTTTGATTGAAATGGCTGAATGTACTGAATTTTATGAAAGAAAAATGTGCTGGCCACTACTATACCAACCAAATAAGCAAGTCAAAAGCTGCATAAGCAAAATAATCCAAATAAGACTACTAAATTGACCATAGATCCTATTGGCTAGAGTTTAACATGCATTAAAGCTGCTTCCAATTGATGGTTGTAGATGGAGATGGGTACCAGTTATCATGGATGAGACGAATGAACATTGTTATTGGCATTGCTAAGGGGCTAAAATATCTCCACACGAATCTTACTCCACCTTTCACTATTTGTGAACTCAATTCAAATTCTGTGTATCTCACTGAAGATTTTTCTCCAAAGGTAAATCACAAATCCCTCTCCAAAGCTAATAACCTTCCGATTGTGCTGGAATTCAATTGACTGTAGTTGCCATTTTCACATGAAAAGCAGAATCTGTTTTAGATTAGCTTTGGATAGGTTTTCTTATTCAATCTTAAACGTTGGGTGTTCTATCTTTGAGTGTGTTAAGGATCTCGTCTAGGGCCTCAAGCGAGATCTCAGAAGAGAAGAGGAGTCAATTGAGACCTTAGGATCAATGTTGTTATGTTCAGATTATCTGATGAGAGAAAGGATAACGATGTAAGAGTCTTAAGGTGGAATTAATGGGTGCCTGATCTAGTCAAGACACGTCAGGATTAATTCTTCCAAAAGTACTTTATTCATCAATATTAGGTCCCTTATATAGATATTACAAGAGTCCTAACTATAATAGAAAGCATAAGGATAATAAGAAGTTTCTTAAAACTGAATAAGGAAATAATATTATGAAGAGGAATTAACTCAGACATAATTAGTTTAATGCTGCCAGTTGCCAATTTGCTAGCTTTCCTTATCCTCATGGTCAACCACGTAAAATATTCTGATCCTGCTCGATTTGTCCAACTAATTTTCCTGAGCCTTCTCGTCCGCGCCTTCGGTGATATACTTGTCCATAGATTGGATCCATAACATCATTTCCCCATTAATTGAAGCTTGTCCTCAAGCTTGAAGTCAGCATATGTGGATCAAAATGTATCCAATGACTTCCATGAAGCTACTTCCTTGAACTGCTCCTGCCTGATACGAGTACTACCTCATTCCAAATAAACCCCAACAGGGATTTCTCCCAAGTTTATAAAAGAAGGGGAAAAAAGGTAAAAGACCAGAGTAATGAAGGGGATTTCTCCCACCATATTGAGTTATTACTCTGTTCTGGAGTAGTGTTTATCATTTGGTTCTGGAGTAGTGTTTATCACTGCCACTGAACCCAGGGTGGGATAGAGCCCGGGTTCCCTGGTTGCTGCTCAGGGGACTTGGGGGTCGCTGGTCGAGACACTACTGTAAACATTGACCACTGGTCCGTAATAGCTGACTTATGGTGCACAGACTGCCCTTTCCTTCAAGCTTTGACTAACGATGTTGTCCAGATGAAGATGAGTGGGCTTCGGGTTGAACAGTTACGTGTTTTCCGGGATTGATGAAGAAAAGATTTAGATTATGCGAGAAGTTTCGTGGTGGGTGTTTTTTTTTGCTCCATTCATTGCAGAATGGAAACCAGAGCTCCGCTGGGGAAGACAAACAGGAAAGACAGCGTGGATGGGACCCTGACGAGAAAACCTGCGCTGATTGGACTAAATCGTCCGTCTAGTCCGTGTCGACTACTTTAACGTTTTGAACTCTTGGCTAAGTAGCACGGAAACTCGAAATGGGAAACTCGAGAAACGTAATTTCTAAAAGATATAGGATACGAAACGTGGGAGAAGTGCATAATTATTACAAAATATAAGGATATATCTATAAATTCTTTTTCATGTGTACATAATTTTTCCATGTAATTTGTTTAATGACCCAATAATAAAAACATTTCGCACATTCAAAATCTAAGTGGGGGCAACTGCAACTGGCTGAAGAGCAGGATGATGGTCGTCTAGTGGGGGCAAGACCTTTATGACTGGTGGAACAGACCTGTGATGGGGTTTAAGTTGGACACATGAAAAATAGAGTGGATACGACAATCTGCGAGTAAGAGGAGCTGGTAGGCAGTTTCCCCAATTCTCGCCTGCACCTGAAGTGGCCCATAAATCCGAGGTAAGAGCATATGATGGGAATTGATTAAGGACACCTGTCGCTATGGATGTACCGATGCCATACCCAGTCCCCTATCTCGAATGATAGATCACGATAGCCATGGTAGTCAAAATCGCGATCTGGCACGTAGGATCGTACGATTATACGATCTCTACTGCTCCCTGCGATCTCGGTTTTACTAAAGATCGTAAAATAGTGGAATCGATGAGATCGCTCGTGCAGAACCGTAAATTCGTGGAAACGTAGCTGAATCGCGAGTCAACAATGAATAGTTGTCGGAAATTTTTAAAGGCTTCGGGATTAGGAATCGTCGGCAAAAAAGACTGAAAGGTCTAATAAAGGATTGAATCGTCGCAAAAACAACCCCATCCTTCTGCGATGAACTCGTTATCTTGATCTCAGTTGTCGGAAAAGAGACCCCGTCTCTCTGTGTCACCTTGTTATCTCGAATCGATCTCCAGGCCAATAGTATTACGCACTCATTGTTTATATTTTATTATAATTATACTATTATTACATCGTATTATGTTATACAGAGTATTATTACACCAATAGGTATTTACTTTATTACTCAGTACTATACTTTTAATAAAATAACTTTAATCTCCAGTCAGCTGTTAGTCTTGTTGCTGTTATTTATTATTGTTATTATTATTATTAATATTAATAAAATACAACTTTAATGTACTGTCAGTTGTTAGTCTTATTATTATTAATATTATTATTTTTTATAACTATTTTGTATAATATCTAAAGTATTGAGTATTATATTGTAAATATCTTAGTATGATTATTATTGATGAATTATATTCAATACCTTACTATAACGATATCATACATTATTATATATGTAGTATGAAATAAATTCATGTCTGATTATAACTTATATATGTAAGTATGTATGTATGTATGTATGTGTGTGTGTGTGTGTGTATATATATATATATATATATATATATATAGTAGGATCTTACGATTCGAGTCACGATCCTACGATTTACGATCTTCAAACCCCTCATGATCCGACGTAGGATCTCGAGTTTGACTACCTTGACGATAGCCCTTGTTAAACTGTTCCTTCATTTGTTGTTAGGCTTGTGTTAATCGGTTCCTTGATGTAGCTAGCAAGATGTCATGATCAATGAGCTCCCTTTCGACCCCTATTAATTAGGTTGTCCCCTGAGTATGTGCCACGAGTTTGGGTTGGTTGCGCCCATACTCTAGACGGAATAGGGTATCACCCAATGTTGTATGATAAGAGGTATTGTAACAATATTCATCCCATGGAAGCCAACAAATCCATTCCCAAGGGTAATCACTCGTTTAGCAGTGCAAGTGCATGCTTAAAGTAGGGTTAACGATCTCCATTTGGCCATCAATTTGCGGGTGATCTACTGGGGAGAAAGCCAATTTGTGCCAAGTGAAGTAATTTGTGCCAAAATGCGCTGGTTAAAACTTTATCATGGTTCGATATAATAGATTCAGGTAACCCATGAAGGCGGAAAACTTCGGCAAAGAACAGTCTTGCTACAGACACAAAAAAATATGGGTGGCTCAATGGAATAAAATGTACCGCCTTAGACAGCCGACCCACCACAACGAGAATAGTTGACTTCTTTTTTGCTTTTGGTAGAGCTCAATGAAATCCATAGACATGTCTGCCCAAATGTGTTGTGGAATGGGGAGCGGTTGAAGTAACCATGCAGGTTGTAGGTTCAACCACTTATACTGTTGGCATACTTGACTATCACGAATGTACTGGGCCACCGTGAACTTCATGTTCGGCAATAAAATTCCCTTCATAAGCGGTGATGTATTTTCAATGCCCTTTTGTGCTATGCCATGGAACACAGACAACAAGTTGGGAAAAAAAATGGAAGAGGGAAACAAATACAACCTTGAAAACTTTATGTTTATAGTAAAGTAACCCGTCTCGGAATGTCTAGTCCTCTGTGGTTGAACCGGCCAACACTTGTTGTCGAATGGCCTCAATCTCTGGGGATGTTATCCAAGCCATGTTTGGCTACACTATGAATGTGTTTCTTTTGCTAGTTGATATGTGTAGGGAGCTGGAAGTTTGAACGAATGTGTTTTGGTGGAACAGGGTCGCTAAAGGTATTTGTTGGAGGGAGTGGAAGTATATGTGTAAATCTAAAACTTGTGCAGGTGATAGAAATACGAGTAAAGCCTGTACAACTAATAATAAATGTTACGGGAAAGTATATGTAGAAGGGGGGAGAATAACAGTTAGTAGTTAGCTGAGGTGGCCTTTTCTGGTAGTAGTTGAGAAGAGAATAATTAGCTGGGTTTGGGAAGTTAGTAAGCAGGCTGTTAGACAGTTAGATTGGGCTGGGAGAGATTGAGATATCGGTATCTCGTTTCTTCTAAACGTCTTGTACATTTCCACCATTAATGAGAGCTTGAATTGTTTCTTGAATTCTATTCTCTTACTGTAAATTTACTAAAATACCTGCGAGAGTCTATCAGCAGCGCTTTAGGAGGGTTCGGGAGTTCAATATTTTCATGCTAGGTCAGCAGGCATGGCGGCTGCTGACAGAACCCCAACTCTTTAGTAGGGCGGCTTTACAAAGCTAGTTACTACCCAAAGGGATCTTTTTTACAGCTAAAATTGGGAATAGTTCCTCGTTTTTGTGGAGAAGTTTATTGGATTCTCAAAGTGCTTTGAAAGAAGGTTATCGGTGGTGAGTTGGGGATGGTAAATCCATAAATATTTTGGAAGAGCCACGGCTGCCCGACGCTTCAAATCCTTATGTGGTTACGCCGTGTGTGTTTTAGTTGGAAGGGGCAATGGTGTAGGGGCTGGTTCCGGGACAGGGACTTAGTTAGGAGTATACCTTTGAGTGTGAGGGAAGTTCTCAACGAAGTGATTTGGGTGTGGGAACAGAATAGTGTTTACTCGGTTAATTTTTTTATAGGTAGGTGGTAGGGGAGGCTGATTCGTTGGAGTGGTTGGGCTGGTTCAAGAAGGTTAAAACTTTGTCAAGATTCTGTCAAAACTTTGTTTTGGCAGGTGTGTAGTGTGTCTCTTCCTACAACTAAAGTGCTGAATGGTGTATGGGTAAACTGGTAAACTGCCCTGAGAGGTGCAGCCTGTGTGGAGTAGAGGACGAGTCGCTGGCTCGTTGCTGCATGTTGTCGCGAGATGTACGGTGGCTGTTGCAGTTTGGAGTCATTTAGGGTGGAGTTTGTTGGGAGCATTAGTGGGGCCCTTTCTGTCCTGGGTGCAGGCTGGTTTCCAATGAAAAACTGCAGAGGAACTTCACTAGTTTTGCATGGGAGATTGGGGGTTATGACAAGAGAGGAATAACAGGTTGTGAAGAGGTTCTCAAGCATGTGCAAGGCAAATTTTAAAATGCAGTGGCTGCAAATCGGCTCAATTCAAGTTGCCATTGGGCCCAGTAGTAAGGCAGGCGGGTTTCCCAGTGTGGCAGCGACTGGCGGGGTAGAGTATAAGTCAACGTTGATGCTGCTACCAGAGGTAGTCGGCGAGGTCTCAGTTGGGTGGTCTGGGACTCGCAGGGAGGATTTCTGGTCGGAGTTCCCAAGCCTTGGGCTGGATTGTGTTCCACAAGGGAAGCTGAGATGATGTGTATTCCGGAGGCACTTGGTTGAAAAATCAAAATTGGCATTTTGTGGATATTGAATCAAATGCTTTAAAGGTTATAAGTGTGATCCAGTGATCCAGTCGTGCGTTTCAAACGACATTTGGTCTTCTTGCTGATGATATCAGAAATATGAGCACTAGTTTCACTAGTATAAATTTCTTTCAGGTAAGACGTTCTGCAAACCAGGTTGCTCACTTGTAAGCTCAAGTAGCTGGTTCCGTGTCAGATTTGGTCTGATCATCCTCATTGTATTTCTCAATGTTTGGACCATTATTTGATTAATGATATCCGAATTTATTCTTCTCAAAAAAGAAGCTACTACTTTTACTGATTTGACTTGGTCCTTTAATTTCATAACTTTTAGAGTCTATTGCTCCCTCCGTCTGAAATTGTAAGGCACTTTACGGTTTACGATGTTTGACTGACGATAAAGCAAATTGATCCCTGCTAACACTCAAATTAGTTTTTGAAAATAAATTTTACATATTCAGAAACTACATTAGAACCGCTACAAAGCCGGCAAAAAATAATTCAAATTTCATAAAATTTTGATATATAAAGTAAGAGATTAAGAGTAAATTGTGTTGACCAAGTGAATAGGAAAGATATCTTATAAAATGGGACTTAGGGAGTAATATTTATTTGCTTATAGAGATTTTCACCATGGGTCATCCGGAAACAGTCTCCCTGTGCTTTAGTACAAGGGTAAGGCTGCATAATCCGACCCCCCTAAGGTTGTAAATGAATCAAATAATTTGTGCTCGATTCGCGATTCGAATTCATATAAGACGATTTGAATTCAAAAAATTCAAATACAAATACAAATATGAATATTAAATTTGATTCGAGTTGTTATCAAATACAAATAAGAATATCAGTGTATTCGATTCGAATATTAATCAAATATATTCGATTAATAATAGTGATAATATTAATAATAATAGTAATAACACTATAATAACTTTTAAAAGATAGCAATACCCTAAAGTGTAGTTCATATATACATTTATACATACAGATTCTAAGTCCATTTGTAACAAGTCAGAGTATAAATACGAATACAAATCGGATTTTTGGTTCAAATGTCTTTCAAATACAATACAAATAATTATGTATTTGATTTGCAGAATAAAATTAGAGTCGTTTGACTTTGATATATACAATTATCAACTTATTTCACACATTATAAGTATAATTTCTAACATGTGTGTGTTAGTGTTTATTTCAAAAAGTTTGAAATAGATTTATATTTGTTAATCATAAAATTGATTCACTTAAGTATATCGTGCACAATCTAAAACTACATTGATCCATTGAATTTAAATTCTAAAAACACATATTAAGTCATAACGTACATTTACAACATAAAAAAACATAATAAAATTTATTTTAAAGTGATATTTCACCAATATTTAACCTATGCTCAAATATATTCGATATTCGTATAAGATTCGTTAACTATTCGTATTATTAAACAAATACAAATACAAATTGAAATTAATATTCGTTTCATATTTGAATTCGAATTCGTATTCGAAAAAATTAAACAAATACAAATACAAAATTCTACTATTCGACTCGATTCGGTTCGTATACAACCCTTCACCCCCCCTTACCCCACCGTCGGTGGGAGCCTTTGCGGCATTGGGGGTAATGATGATGAATGATAGAGAAATATAATGTACTAGTTTCATAATAGGATTATGAAACTATATACTTCGAAAACTATATTTACTACTCCCTCCGTCCCATTGGACTTTTCCAACTTTTCCTTTTTGGTTTTCCCAAGAAACTTTGTCACTTTCCTATTAAAGCAACTAATTTGTGGTTCTGGACATTTCTCTCTCCTCTGCCCAAATCTCAACCACACATTTTTACTATTCTTATTTCTCACCTACTTTGCACTTGGCAAAGTCCACCGGGCCGGAGGTAGTATATTTTATACTTCATCACTAAGCATTCTCTTTTTCCCATCATTTGCGATGGAGTCAAAGACTTACTATTTTTTGGCTTGGAATATGATGGAACAAAGCAAAATGGCTCACTAAATTGTTTGCGCTTCTTTGTTATGAAGCAGCAGTTAGTTAATTTTCGACGCGATTTTCACTATGGTCATCCGGAAACAGCCTCTATTTGCTTTAGTACATAAATAAGGCTGCATACATCCGACCTTCCTTACCCCACCGTAGATGGGAGCCTTTGCGGCACTGGGGTAATGATGATGATGATCACTAAGAATTCACTATAATCCATAGTATTGTGTTTGCATTGGGCGCAGTTGGTTGATTTTGAAAGCTGGAAGACAATACTATCAAGATCAGAAAGGAGTTTGGGAGCTATCAGTAGTGAAGGTGCAGTTAGCGTCTTCCCTAGCTCTATGGAAAAGCGTCATCTTGATATCCAGGGTAACATCTATTCATTTGGGTTGCTTCTTCTGGAAATAATCAGTGGCAAACCTCCATACTGCAAGCACAAAGGGTCCTTAGTGGATTGGGTAAGACTGATTGAACCTATTGCTACTTAAATTTATGTCAATGAATAATTCTTTAAACTTCTAGTATGGTCCCGCCCACCATTTTGACTCATCCACCGCCGTAGCAAAATGATATTGTAAAAGTAGGGTTATAGAGGTGAAAATTAAATGATGAAAGCTCATCATTTCGGCAATTGTATCACTTCTTCATAGGCAAAGGAATTCCTTGAAGTACCGGAGGCAATGCCTTACGTGGTGGATCCGGAGCTGAAACATTTCAGATATGAAGACCTCAACATAATATGTGAGGTGATCAAATTGTGTATCCAACCAAGTTGGATCAACAGAACTTCAATGAGTGAGTTGTGCACTCTGCTTGAAGGAAATATTGACACTTCTATGTCTGTGGAGCTTAGGGCTTCTTTAGCATGGGCTGAACTTTCCGCCCTCTCCTGATTGATTCACTCTTCTATGGCCAGATTTTATAGTGGCGGCAGCTCAAATTACAAATATACAGACCATCTATCTTCATTTTTTTCCTCCCATTTTGTCGAGTATCTTGAGTTGTGTGAGATCTGTGCAAATTTTGTTTGCCACAGAGATGCTCAACTGGCTATCCGTTTCAATTTTCCTTTCCGTTGTAATTTGTAAATTACCAGAACATCTTTGTGCCACAATACCAAATAGTCGGTAAAACAATAGCTTAAATTGCTCCATTCATTAAATTGATAGCCGACCCACCCAACCCGAAAATATGGATGGAAATATATATCATCCATTAACTTTAGGGTGGAAAAGGGGTGAGTGGGTGACGGATGGATAGGGTGATGGAGCGTGTCAAATGCAGGTGGACATATATATCATCCATTACCTGACCCATCATCCGATCCACCACACTACCCACCACCTGCTCACTATTATCAATAATTTTCTTAAAATTAACATACTAGTGTAGCCCAATATAGTTGTACTATTATTAATTTTGAGTAATTAGCGGTCAAAATTTAACATATATGACTAAAAAAATCAAACATGGATTTTTATTTAGGGAAAGAGGTAGTATTTATTACTTTAAATGGATATAGTAAAATTTTTGGGATGACTAAAAAGGGAAATTTGACTTAGTTTTATGGAACGAAGGGAGTATTTAAAATAAATTTTATTAATGAAATAAAAGAAAAAAACTATATGAAAGGACAATATGAACCTTATTTACCAGTTGCCGTTGGGGCCTAAATGAACCTTGTGACTCTCAATCTCGCGTTCTTTGGGTGCCGACAATCTATCACTAAATCACAGGCTGCTTTGTCATTGTTTGATTTTTGGTTGTCTGATCACACTCGAAATTATGTATCTACTTATCGTATTTTTGCCCCTGCTCAGTAGTTCTATAGCAGGTTGTTTCATACATTTTCTAGGAAAATTATTTCACAATTTAGCATGCGAAATCGAAACTTACGTATTTTGTAAAAATAATTGGCTGATAAGTGATAAGACAATTAAACTAAAACTGAGTTTACCAAATAGGTTCTTTCATATTTTTAATTTTAACAATTGTATAATTTGTATTATTAAAATAAAGAATTGGGTTGGATTTGATTTTTCTAAAGGGCATTTTCCTTGAATATTATCAAATTAAAGTTGATTTTCAAAATGTGACCATTTCTTAAAAGGACAAAAATGTGACTAAAGTCACATTTTTTGGGAAAAACATGATGTCACTATATTTTTTGTCACTGCCATCTTTTTATGTCACTATTAGATATTTATGTCACTTTTGAATATTACTATTGTCGTAAAACAGTCACTATTGTCATGGAACATGTCGGTACAACTATCGGAAAATTTTTCATCAACCTTTTCCTACGAAACTGTACATCACCACCAGCGCCACCACCATACTTGACTCTTTGCCGCCCAATAATGACCAACTGCCCCGTCAGTGACATCTCGCCCTTGCACCTCTGCGACAGCCACCACCGCCCACAGCCCCCCGACAACCACTGGCCTCAAGCTCCAGCACCCAAACCCATTGTAACTAGGGGTGGACTCGGGCCGGGCGGCCCGAACCGGAACCGGCCCGGTGGCCCGGCCCATGGGCGGTTCGGTTCGACCCGGCCCGGTGGCTACCGGTTCCGGGCTCGGTCCTTCATTTTGGTGAACCGGCCCGGCCGGTTCGGGCCCGATCCGGGCCGGATTTTTTTTTTGAATTTTTTTTAAGTTTTTGGGTTGGATTGGGTATTTTGGGCCATTTGAGGTAGCCCGTCTTGAGAAAAGAAAGAGGTTGAGCCCCCTTCTTCATCAGCATCGCATTCCTAGTGCATAAATCAAAGCTAAACCCGCCTTTGGCGGGAACATTGATGGAATCCTTAGTCATTGCGATTGCTATTCAACGAAATCCGGAGGAAAGCTACAAGTATTTGTTATGACTGACTTGATCTGAGAGATGAGAACAAACAGATCATAATATTTTATTTGAAAGAAATATCAACTTTATTTGAAAACATCAGAGTTATGCAGCGGAAAACCAAAAGGGAAATCGGGTGTTACTGCCACACTCGGTTCTCCTTTAACCGAGTGCACAAGCTAATCACCACAGAAACAATTAAACTCAATAAGTGTCTTGAAAATTAAATTAAACTACAATGTTATCTACTAGTTGCATTTTCTCTAACGGAAGCTCTCTCGAAATCAACATCATCATCAAAGCGTCACCTGTACAAAATCAAGTACAGAAAGAAAAACAAAAGAAAACAAAAATTAGCAACAATGCTAAGTAAGTTCCACCTAACCCCATAAAATAATATAATTTAATTTTTTTGAAAAAATAAAATTAGGAGGAAAAATCTTTTTAAAACAATTTATAAAATCTTCTCATAACATAATTCACGAGTAAAATAATAGTACTTCAAATATAAGTAAATATTTCTCAATTACAACAAATAAAAAAATATTACCAAATATACATAAAGTACCAAAAAAAATCATCCTCAAAATACTTCCAAATATTCATAATCAATATTAGCATAATCAAACCGAATTAAATCCAAAAGTATTTTGTACTTTAAAATTCCCCAAATAATTTGATAATTCAATCAAACTCATATTCAACCTAAACATAATCCAACAATTCCAATTAATTTGATAATTCAATTCCACCTCAAATCCAATCCAATAAAATTCACCTGAAGTCCAAATCAAGCCAATCAAATAATCTCAATCACCTCAATCCAAACAAAGTCCAGTGGAAGCCGAACTCCTACCTTAAGTGTGCACACCCCTAAAAGGGATTCCAAGCCCTCCGGGTAGTAAGAAGCCCGAGTAGTCGGGATTTTTCTACTAACTACACTACAATTAAGCTGGGATACTCCGCTATTGGGAAGTACCCCTGGTGGATTTAGACTTATAGCCATTACCACTCACCAATACCACATTTATCCGGATGTGACAAACCGACACCACAGATTTCTCCGGGTGCTCACCAAAAATCACAATTCATTTTCAAAGTTCCAAACCAATATCACAACCTCAACCAAAACGGATATGAAATCCAAACTCCATAAAATAATCCACAATGTAAAATATTAACTCCAACAAATTACACTCAAATGTACCATACATTAAAATTTCACAAAAGAGCCAAAATATAGAATACTTCATAAATAGCTCAAATCTCAATTTTAATCCCAACAGATATTCAAAATATCATCCAATATCAAATACTCAAATCTCAAATATAATTTCTCAATAACAATTCATACATAATTCCAAATACTCAAAAATAAATGTAAGTTCAAGAAATCTCATAAATACTGAAATAATAATTTCAAATGAATAATCATACATAGATTTACGAGGAAAAGTATAATGTTGGTTGTCATGGAACTTACCTCAATTCGCGATAACTCCTAACCGAAATTTATACCTCGATCTTCTTCACCTTCTAAAAATATTAATAATAAATTTTAATTAATAACTATTGCCCAAATATAGTTTAATTATCCCTTAATGTTATTATTATTACTATCTTAAATTGGCAGTTCGGCCAGTCCAATGATATACATAATAATAGAATTTTGTCCAGGTTATAAATAGATCCAGCCCAAAATAAAAGTAAACGGTACGTAGCTTCAAAAATTCTTCTTCTTCTTCAGAAAAGAAGGGATATACATACGTACTGTTCTCAATTGTCTTCTTCTCAGCAATTCCGCACAGGGCCAGTCGCAGCAGCTGCAGTGACTTCAGCTCCTTCTTCCTCCGGCGTGGCAGCTTGATCAGCAGCGGAACTCCGGTGTGATAATTCTCCGGCGACGCTGATAGCGATGATGTTATTCCCTGGCTGACATTTTTCTTCCTCTCCGGCGATGTAATTCTCTCCTCTGGTAGACCGGTGTGAACCAGCCGGCGAGTCTGGCTATGGCTCTATGGCGTCCATTCCTTTTCTGCGGCGTTCTTTCTCCGACGATGCTCGTTCTTCCCCCTTGTTTTTCTTTCGTTTCTCGTTCGGTTATTTTTGCAGTTGATTGACTGCTCGGTCGCGTATATATACGGAAGTTTATGGCTTCGCCGTAGTCTCGTTTCGTTTCGCATGCGCGGATCGCAAGTCACATATATATAATCTTCCAATGTTTCTAGGCCCTAGGGTTACGTACATTAACTCTTAGTTACCAAAGCGTTGCAGGCCCAGTTCTGTATATTTCTGCCACATGCAGGTCATTTTTGTTTTTGAAAGGTAAGCTCATGTATTTATACATAGTACTAGTATTTTAATTAATGTTATAAACGTATGGAGTATATCAACTTTTATTCAGTGTATATACAATGGTACTCATTTTTTTTACCAACATCGGGTCCTTGAAATTTGTCATAATTTATTTTTGTCTAACTTTTAAAAATGTCACTTTTGACAAACTTTTTATTTTTCATTTTTTGGTCATTTTTTTTGCTATTTTATTTATTTAAGATTTCGGAGTGTCACAGTCCCATTCCATAAACCCAAGTGCCCGAGGTAGCTCGTCCTCCACCGGGGATCGATGGGATGATGGGTGTACCTCCGGCGATGATCTAGATTTTTATGAACGGGGAATGCCACCTCGGCCTCCTCGATACTCTCTCAATTTTTCATGTATCCGGCGTCAGCGCCAGCATTTGCTCAATGCTGATAGGCGGATGATCAGCCTGTGGTTTTACCCTCACAGGGTTTTAACTCCATACTCACATGGGTTTCATGATCGTCTCCGCCACCCCATGCGCCATTTGCCCGGCTTTGTGGTGGTCCATCTAGATTCGATCATAGCTAGCCTTCCCCCCTGCATCCCTTCCATCTGGAACTTTTTAGGGATTTACACATCACGCTAGCGCAGCTCGTCCCTGCTTCCTATAGGATCATAGCGGGTTTCATCATTCGATGCCACAGCGTGGGTGTGGTCCCTACCGTGGATTTGTTCCACCACTTCTTCCGTTTAACCACTTACGGTCGTTCGGGATACTTAAGCCTGACCGCTCGTCCTTCGAAGGTTCTTTTTGCCAATAATTCCCCGAATCCGAGCAGTTGGGAGGAGCGATTCTTCCTCGCCGGGGTAGGTTCCCCGATGCCCTTTCCGATAGGTGGAATGCCTACCCGGTAAAGTTTGGCCCTCCGCCCATGACGGAAGAGGAACCAGGCCACGCCAGTTGCATAACCGGCCTTGGTATCCAAAACCTCTTGCTATTGGTGGCAGAGCTCTTCATAGCCCGGGTAGGACTAGGTGCGTCTGAGTGTACTGCATTTTTCCTGT